TCAGGCCTTGGGGTTTAGCAAAACCAACAAAATTTATTCTGTGAAAAGCTCTTTGGTGAGGTCCCATGGTCTGAACAGAGGCCGGGGGAGTCACACCCAAAGGATTGTTGCTCACCCTCTTATAGGGGTCCTTGTCCAATGAGCGGTTGCCACAGCATTGTGGCATCCTGTCCTGGCCATTAGGAGATGATGTTTCTGTTCAACTGGTGGCTGGCGTGCCAAAGGCAGAAGGCAGGAGAGTCTGTTTGTTGTCCACGCCAGATGCGGAAGGCGGGAAGGTTGCCACCAGCAGGAAAATTTCCACCATGTTTCTTTTCCCTTCCCCCAGACCCTACACATACCTGTTTAAAAAGAGGCAAACAATTAGAGGTGTACTCAGGCCCCACCTTGGGCACCACTTGCCAGGACTTGCTGGGCTGTACACGTTTTTCTGAGTGTGGAAGGCTGTGGAATAGAAATAAATGCAATAACAAACACACAAAGTCACATGAGTACAGAAAAGTAAGGATCAGGTGGGACAACTTCTCTGATGGAGAAGTTGTGACCTGGAACTGTCCTCAGGTTTATTCTTTTAAAGGGCAGAAAATGGGGCAAGAGGAAATGGAGTGCAAAACTAGTTGGTTTTGGACGTAAATCATCTGAAGATGTAAAAATCATTGGTGCTATGTAATTTCTATGATCTTTTTTGGGGCAAAATCTGATAAACACATATGATTTCCTTTAGCCTCATGCTGCCCTGTAGTATCTGGTATCTCATATTAACAACAGAAAGATAACCAGTAACAACAGGTAGATAGCATTTTCATATGTAAATGCCCTCAATAGCCATTGCTAAAGTAGCTCATGGAAGTGCATTTCTGCATGTGTCTAAAGGTCACACTATGTTTTCTCAGATTGTTGCTCTCCACGACATGTACAATCATGCATCACTTAATGATGGGACTATGTCTTGAGAAATACATCTCTAAGTGATTTTGTACTTGTTTGAGCATCATAGGGCATATTAACATGAATCTATTGTAGATTGGTATAGCCTACTACACACTTAGGCAGTTTGGTATAGCGTACTCCTCTTCATCTGAAAACCTATAAACCTCTTAGTGTACTGAACATTGTAGACAATTTTAAGGCACTGGTATGTATTTTTTTTATCTAAATGTAGAAATGGTACAGTAAAAGTATGGTATAAAATATTTTTAAAATGGCATACCTGTATAGGGCACTTAAAATGAATGGAGCTTATAAGGACTGCAAGTTGCTTGCCTGAGTCAGACAGTGAGTGGCGAGTAAATGTGAAGTCCTAGAACATTGCACAACTAAAGACTTTATAAACACTAGACACTTAGGCACATGACATAAAAGATATCTTTCTTTCTTCAATAATAAATAACCATAAACTTCTATTTTTTTAACTTCATAAACTTTATTTTAACTTTTGACTCTTGCAGTAACACTTAGCTTAAAACACACATTGTATAGTTGTAAAAAATGTTCATTTTTATATCTTTATTCTATAAGCTTTTATCTATTTTTCATTTTAAATTTAATTTTTTTTTTTACTTTTTTAGCATTTTGTTAAAACACAAATACATAATTAGCCTAGGACTACACAACATCAGAATCATCAATATCAATGCCTTCCACCTCCATGTCATGTCTCACTAGAAGGTCTTCAGGGCCAATAACATGCATGGAGCCCAACAACAATGCCTTCTGGAACACCTCCTGAGGAGCTGCCTAAGGCTCTTCTCAAGGAGGTGTCACTTTTTTCACAAATGTCTACAGTGGTTTGCTTGTTTTCTTTCTATTTCTTTCTTTCTCTCTTTTCTTCTTTCTTTCCTTCTTTCTGTTTTTCATATTATATTTGCTTGTGAGCACTGTGAGCATCCCTCTCTATTAATAAAATCCTTTTTTGTGTTGGAGTCCATGTGCTCAAACTTTTTAAGCAGCTCACTGAAGTCTGAAAGGTTCTGGTAAGTCTGTCACTGTGAACTTCTTAGGTGTCTTCTTTTTCTTCCTGTGCAGATTCCTTTTCCCTACTTCTTCTTCAGCTGTATGTTTCATGTTGCTGTTCCCACAGCTCCTCATTAGCACATCCCTTAGGAACCACTCCTAGGAGCTCCTGAATGTCATCCTCAACCACATCCAGGTAAAAGTCATTTGCTCTCAACCACAGCCATGTCAATTTATGCAACCTCCTCATTCTTAGCAAATACTTTGATGTCATGAATGAACCTCTTGAGTGTGTTTTTCCAGATGTCAGTTATACACTCCGTGATGTGGTGACAACCCCTCCCCCCACCCCAGCAAAGTTTTTGACACAGTGATAGGTGTTGTAATTTTTCAAGAATTGGACAAGGTCTTCTCAGTGTCTTCTTCAGTTGCAGTAATAGCTTAAGCAGAGGTCCTCCCCTAGTAGCAAACCTTAAAAGCTGCTATAATATGGAATAATTGATTTATGGTAAATTTTTATGTTTTTGCCATAAGATACATGCACTCTCACCAGAGAGAGACAGAGAGAAACAGTAAGAGGGGAAGAGAGAAATCCAATCCCCAGGCAGGATGGCCATGCTACAAACTCTTCTCCAGTCCTCTTCTGCAATTTTGGGCACATGCCCACACACACCTTCAAGCTGCCAGATCCAAGACTTGTACTATGGTTAGCCATGTGGGACTCCAATACCTTAACCACCACACCACCCGTGCTGGCCCCTATGGTAAACTTCTTTTTTGTAAGAGTGCCTTATAAAATAATGATAAAAGAATAGCTTAGAAAACAAAAAAATCAATATAATTCATTACAATTACCAAGTATCATATATTGTACATAATCACGTGTACCTTATACTTAGACAACTGTAGGTTTATGTACACCAGCGTTACCACAAACATATGAGTGATGCGTTATACTGCAAGATTATGATGGCTATACTGTCACTATGTAATTAGAGTTTTTCAACTTCATTATCATCATCTGGGATCACTGTCATATATGCAGTCCATCCTTGACTAAAATAGCATTATGTGACTTATGAATAAGAATATGTGTGTGTGTGTGTATTTGTGAATGATAAGCATACGCTAATTTCCATATCAAGTTAAAAAATCAATAAGAAACTTTTTTGCCTTTTTTTGACAGAATCTCTTCTAATGTCTAATTTTTTTCTCATGTGATCAGCATAGGTTCAGCTCAACACAGGAACATTTATTTTATCACTGATAAGGATCCAAATGCTAAGTGATATGTTAAAAACTGAATAGAGAGAGAGAGACTGAGAGAGAAAAAAAGAGAGAGAGGACTTGAGGAGATTCAATGTAAGGAACTAGATCATATGATTATGATGGTTGAGAAGTCCAAGATGTGTTGGCAAATTGGAGACCCACAGGAGCTAATGGTGTGGTTCCAGTCTGAGTACAAAAGCATGAGAATCAGGGGAGCTGAGGATATCAGCTCCGGTTTGAGCCCAAGTCCAACCCCAGGAAAAGACAGACATCCTAGTTCAAAGATATTCAGATGGAATGAAAGAATTCTTTCTTACTCAGCCTTTTCTTCATTCAGACCTTTAACAGATTAGATGAGAGGGAGAAATACAGGTTACTCAGTCTACTATTCTAATACTAATTAATCTCATCCAGAAGCACCTTCACAGAAACACCCAAAAATAACATATAACCAAGTATCTGGGCATTACATGACCCAGTCAAGTTGATACATAAAATTAACCATTATATATTTTGAAGAAAGAGCTAATATGGTTTTCTGACAAGGATTTCCTGGCAAATTAGTTGGTAAGGAGAAAGAGAGAGAAGAGAAGGACACTTCTCTCCACTTTATGTAATAAAAAACTGTGACTATGAGAATGTCCAGGTATGCCCAAGGATATGTACATATTAAAGGATATATGAGCATTACAACTCAGACCTGGTTCATGCCACAGGCATTCTTAATTCACTACTGTAGTTGGTTAAATAGGCAGAAGAATGTTACAGAATCAGCCATTTCCCTTCCAAATAAATATTATTTCAAATAGATTCTCTTCTTTGTGTCTCTATACTTTCTAATTCTTCCTCATTTATCTATGCTTTTGCCTTCTAAATTATTTAAATTCACCTTCTATTCAGTTTGCCATGTATCACTTAACATTTATATCCTTTTGGAGGCAAAAATAAATGCTCTTGTTTTGAGCCAAATCTATGCTATTACGTTATTATGTGAAAAAAAATAATTTAAGACATTGAAACAGGTTCTGTCAAAAGACTTAAAAAGAAAAAAGCTTATTTGCTTTCAAATTTTGATATGGAAATTAGTATATGCTTATCATTCACAAGCATATTGTTTACATGTCAAGTAAATTCACAATGCCTACAAATACTTTAATTATACCACTATTAAGAGCTGGAAAATTATAACTAGTTAGGTTTAGATATTCACTCCCAGATGTCAAACTAAATAATGGGTAGGAAAAAACAAACATCAAGCAAAATGCCACACTGATATAATTAATACAGCCCTGTCTTTACCTCAATTTTTTGAAGAAATGGATTTGATGGGAGAAAAGAATTATTTTTATTATCTTTATCAAAGTCTAACATTCAAGGTAGAATGTTAGGATTTTGAAGGCAAAGATCCCTGTGGCTCTGTTTTTCAACTAAATTCAAGAACAGACTAAAGCCATGGATAAAGTTCATGTTATTTTATATTGTCTTCTGCTAGGATTTCTGTTTACAAAGGAAGAATCTTTATTATATGATTCACCCAAGATTTATATTTATAAAACTGTGGTTCCTCAAGAGAATCTCAGATCTCCCTTGATACATGGATTAGAATTTACATTTAAAAAGAGTTTAGAACTGATATTTAGATCTCTATTCAATTTTACTTAACGAAATAATAACATAACCTCAGTTAGAGAGCTTTGCTTTAACTTTCACAGAGGAAAAAAAAAATGTAAGTTTCTTTTGGTCTTTTAGCTACTAAGTCCACTATACAGTCAGTCTGAATGACAACTCTGGAGGTCATCATTAGAGGAAAGAATGCTGAAGGTGACAGTGAAACCAAGCTGGAGGAAGTGTGTGTCCCTATAAGGGACATTCTTGGCAAAGTTTGTGCAGGTAACTTACTTTAAGTTAGCATACTAAGATTGAATCAGAGTTTCAGTGAGAGTTCTCTTAAAGTGACGATGGCTTGTTCAGAATTTATTCCAAGAAAATTTTCTTTATTTGGTAGAGATTTACTCACCTTTGAACATATCAAACAATTGTTGGGTATATCCAGATTAAACGCATAGACATCTTAAATTACAAGACCTTCAAAGTCATTGTAATGTTCTTCGATGAATCTAACACCAAATCTCTGTCCTGACATTAATCATAGTCTTCAAAAACTTATGTACTCTAACTATGTAGATTTTATCTTTCACTATTGTTGTTTAAAGGCCCTCTCATTTAACTAAATGAACTCTTTCCTCTTCTATTATTTAAGCGAGACTAGACCATAATATGAGTTGGAAAATAAATATTCCTAGGTTTCTTGTTTCTGCAAAAAGCCCTCCTGGGCCACAAAAATGTATATGCTATAAAGTTAGAGAATGTTTGTTTCTCATTTTGTTTAGAAATATTTCCACATACTGTAAGAGTATGTTTTGTAGCTGTTTGCCTAGTAAATTCCTGTGATCTGAAAGCAAAATAAAATAGTTCTTATCTTCCAAAAAATCCAAATAGTTAGAGACTGAATTAAGTCCCTAGGCTAAGTTCCAAGGTACCAGGAAGACTGGAGGGCTATCCCTGCAGGGATTTACATTTCAAAAGTGATGAAACTCTAAAAAATGAGAGACCTCTATGGGTAAGTAGATCTTAAAAACAGAGATACTGCATAGGCTTTCTCATCCCAGAAGAAATTTCATTTACCTATCAAACGATTAGAATAAGGAAGAATCCCTTTCAGGAGGGAAGAATAACAGTTGCCTTCATGTTCTGAATAAGCAGAGAAAAATTATTCTACCATAGCTGCTAACATAGAACTCTTAGTCTATCTGTCATTAAACTGTCCTGGGGTAAGAACTAAAGCAAAGGGAGTCAAATGAGTTTATTTATTGTGAGAAATTTGCTGAGAAATTTGTGTTGATCCAGAACACTTTTTACATACATTCAGGATAAAATTAATAAAGAGAAACATTAAAAATTGTAACAATGGGACCAGCAGATGGCATAGTGGTTAAGACACTGAATTCCCACATGGATGATCATGGTTCAAGTCCCAGGTCCAGCAGCTTGAAACTCATGCCAGGTGTGAGTGCATGTATGCCTAAAATCCCAAAAAGAGAATGGAAAAGAAGAGATTGCAGCATGGCCATCTCCCTTGGAGGGTTATTTCTTGTTTCCATCTCTGTCTCTCTGGTGAGTACACATACCCTATAGCAAAAATAAATCTCTCTCTCAAAAAAAAAAAAATGAGTAACAACAATAATGGGTCCAGCAGGAGCCATGGTTCTTAAGGCACTGGATTCCCACATGGCCAAACATGGTTCAAGTCCTGGACACAGTGGCTTGAAAATCATGCTAGGCTTGTGTGCTCACATGCTTAAGATCCCAAGAGAATGGAGAAGAAGATATTGCTGTATGGCCACCCCCCTGGGGGAGTAATTTCTCATTTTCCCTCTCTATATATCTCTCTTTGTGTCTCTCCAGTGAGCACATACACCCTATAGCTAAAACCTAAAAGAAAAGTAACAAAAATATAATAAAATAATCCTCAAAGTTAAAATAATTTAACATAATAGAGGTTCATTCCTCATGCTTACTCATCAAATTGAATAGGGTAATAGAGGTAGACTCTTTGTTCAAAGACTCAGTATAACAAAGGTTTTGCCATCTTTTGGCACCAACACAACAATAAAAATTAAAGGACTTGCTGTGTCAGGAGAAGAGAGTACAAGGGATGATGAGGAAGATAGCTGGTTCTTGGCTTCTACCTGGAGAGTTTGTTGCTTCAGCTCAAATATCATTGCCAGAACTACTTAATGACAAGGAAATGGGGAAAGATTAGGGACCATGTCAAAATGTAATGCATGGTAGTTACCTCTGCCATATCTTTGCTTCTCTTCATGCCATTCCACAGTCTCAGGGCAAAGAAAAAAAAGTATTAACCTAAATGAAAGCTAATCCAAGAATCTTAATGCTCCTCTTGCTATAACTCTTTGGCTTCTCAACTACCAATACCTTAGGATACAGCAAAATTTTTACTCTCTGTTAAGCCCTGCTTACACATTGTAATACAGACAATTGCCATAGGTATTACTGAAGGACTGCCTTTGACTGTAAATCTAGGAAAACATTAATGATCATGAAGTCCAAGGATGGTATCTTAGAACTTTTAGGCTGCTATAACAAAATACCTCAGACTGGGTTGGTCTGTCAATAAACATCAGACATCTATTCTCACAGTTATGGATGCTGGGACATCTACATCAAGGCATTAGAAAATTTGGTGTCTGGTGAGAATTTGGTCCTTACGACAACACCTTTTTTACATTCTTACATGAAGGAATAGGCCAACAGGCTTCTTTGAGCCTCTTATAAGGACATTAATCTTATTCATGAAGGTGGAGCCTTCATGATTTAATTACTCCCAAAGGCCTCTTGTCACTCTCTCTCTCTCCTTTTCTTTTAATAATTTGTCAAAGGGCACATGTGCTCACTAGAGAGAAAGAGAGAGTGAGAAACCAAGAAGAATCTACCATGTGGTATGGTCATACTGCAATCCCTTTTCTTCCCTTCTCCCTCCTTTTGGGATTTTGGGCACACACACACACACACACACACACACACACACACTTGCCCAGTGTGTTTTCCAACCCATCAGATACAGGATTTGAACTGCACAGAGGGCCATGAGGAACCCAGCCTCCTTAACCTCCAGCACATGGACTGGCCCAGGGTCATTTCTTAATACCATCACCTTGGAGTTATACTTCAACATATGAATTTTGGAGTGACACATGCATGCAAACAATAGCATTCCACCCATGGTGCCCACATTTATGCCCTTCCCATTCAAAACACATCATTTCGTTCCAATAGCCTCCAAAGTATTAATTAGTTATAAAGTCAACTCAAAAGTTTGAAGCCTATAGTCACATCTAAATATAATTTAAATGAGATATAGACAAGGATCAAAGTATAATTCATCCTGAGGTAAATTGTTATTCAGATGTGAGCCTATAAAATCAAATAAGTTAAGTATTTTTAAAATTTAATGGTGGGGCAGGCAAAGGGTAGACACTCTCATTTCAGAAAGGAGAAATACAAAGGAAGTAAAGAATAACTAGCCTAAATCTAAAACCCAGAAGAGCAAACCTTTTATCCTAATGCTGAGAATAGCTTTGACTTGATGCTTTGGCTGAGTGTCCTTGCCACCGGGGCTTTGCTGGGTGCAGCTCACGCAGTGCCTCTCAGATGCCAAAGTCTGTTGCCTACAACTCTCCCAGGTTGGCATTGCACCTTGGAAGCTCTACAGCTCTGGGGCTTGGGGGAACCCTGGCTTTGCTGGGGATTTCCCTAGTGGGGATTGTCTGCCATGACTCACCTCTTTGACAGTTCTCTTCCTAGACTCCAGGGCTCTCTGGAATATCCTTCGTAATCTAGGTGGAGGAAGCCACTCCACCATAGTTTTGCACTATGTGTCAGCAAAAATGGCATGCTGTGGAGGCCACCAATATTTATTGATTGTGCCCACCAGTGAGCGGCCACTGCTACCATATCACATTTGGTCCCAGCAAAGTCACATCTGGAGCAGTCAAGGAGTGCTGTGCCCAATGTAAGGAGTAGAGACTTGAGGCAGCACTGGGCAGTGAGCCACAAGATCCCAAGGGCTCCCTGATCTTTGCCTTTGAAACTGCACTGCCCTAAAGCCCTGGGACTCTGGAGCTTCGATGAAAGTGATCTCTGCAATGCTTGACAGTTCTGAAGGCTGAGAAGTCAAAAATCAAAGTGCTAAAATATTTGGTGTCTGGTGAAGGTTTGTTCTAAAAGATGAAACATCGTATGTGTTTTCACTTGGTGAAAGGGCAAACACACTTTCCCAAGCTTCTTTTATAAGGGCATTAATCTCCTTCGTGAGAATGGAGCCCTCATCTTTTTTGCAATGGGTTTGCTGCCAGAACACAGGTGTCATGATAATCGCCATTAAATCAAAGCCAAAATGGAAAAGGAGAAGATTCACATCAACATCATTGTCATTGGACACGTAGATTCTAGCAAGTCCACCACTACTGGCCATCCGATCTACAACTGTGGCGGGATCGACAAAAGAACCATCAAAAAATTTGAGGAGGGGGAACCAGCAGTTAGCATAATGGCTATGTCGCTGGACTCCCACGTAGTCAACCGCGGTTCGGGTCCCGGACCCGGTGGCTTAAAACTCACGCCAGGCGTGTGTGCGTGCGTGCCCAAGATCCCGAGAGGAGAATGGAGGAGAAGGGATTGCGGCGTGCCCATCCCCCCTGGGGAGTGATTTCTCGCTTTCTGTCTCTATGTCTCTCTCTGTCTGGCGAGCGCACGCACTCTACAGTGAAAATCTCTCAAAAAAAAAAAAATTTGAGGAGGCTGCTAAGATAAAAAAGGGCTACTTCAAAATGCCCAGGTCTTGGATAAACTGAAAGCTGAACGTGAGTGTGGTATCACCATTGATATCTCCCTGTGGAAATTTGGGACCAGCAAATATTATGTGGCCATCATTTATGCCCCAGGACACAGAGACTTCATCAAAAACATGATTACAGGCACATCTCAGGCTGACTGTGCGGTCCTGATTGTTGCTACTGGTGTTGGTGAATTTGAGGCTGGTATCTCCAAGAACGGGCGGACCCGTGAGCATGCCCTTCTGGCTTACACACTGGGTGTGAAACAACTAATTATTGGTGTTAACAAAATGGATTCCACTGAGCCACCCTACAGTCAGAAGAGATATGAGGAAATTGTTAAAGAAGTCAGCACGTACATTAAGAAAATTGGCTACTATCCTGACACAATAGTGTTTGTGCCAATTTCTGGTTGGAATGGTGACAACATGTTGGAGCCAAGTGCTAATATGCCATGGTTCAAGGGATGGAAAGTCACCCATAAAGATGGCAATGCCAGTGGAACTACACTGCTTAAAGCTCTGGATTGCATCCTGCCACCAACTCATCTAAGTGACAAGCCCTTGCATCTGCCCCTCCAGGATGTGTACAAAATTGGTGGTATTGGCACTGTCCCTGTCGGCCGAGTGGAGACTGGTGTGCTCAAACCTGGTATGGTGGTCACCTTTGCACCAGTCAATGTGACAACTGAAGTAAAGTCAGTTGAAATGCACCATAAATCTCCAAAAAAAACCAAAAAAAAACAAAAAACAACAAAAAAAGGGAATCAGCAGTTAGTGTAATGGCTATGTTGCTGGACTCCCACGTAGTCGACAGCAGTTCGCATCCTGGACCTGGTGGCTTAAAACTCACGCTGGGCACATGTGTGTGTGTGCATGCCCAAGATCCCGAGAGGAGAATGGAGGAGAAGGGATTGTGGCGTGACCATCCCCTCTGGGGGGTGATTTCTCGCTTTTTGTCTCTATGTCTCTCTCTGTCTGTCTGACGAGCACACGCGCCCTATGGCGAAAACCTCTCCAAAAAAAAAAAAAAAAATGAAATGCACCATAAAGCTCTGAGTGAAGCTCTTCCTGGGGACAACATGGGTTTCAATGCCAAGAACGTGTCTGTCAAAGATGTTCAATGGGGCACTGTTGGCTGGTGTCAGCAAAAATGCCCCACCAATGGAAGCAGCTGGCTTCACTGCTCAGGTGATTATCCTGAACCATCCAGGCCAAATCAGTGCTGGCTATGCCCCTGTACTGGATGGTACACAGCTCACATTGCTTGCAAGTTTGCTGAGCTGAAGGAAAAAAAAATGATCACTTTTCTGGTAAAAAGTTGGAAGATAGCCCTAAATTTTTGAAATCTGGTGATGCTGCCATTGTTGATATGGTTCCTGGCAAACCCATGTGTGTCAAGAGCTTCTCTGACTATCCTCCTCTGGGTCGTTTTGCAGTTCATGACATGAGACAGACAGTTGCTGTTGGTGTGATCAAAGCTATGGACGAGAAGGCTGCTGGAACTGGCAAGGTCACCAAGTCTGCCCAGAAAGCTCAGAAGGCTAAATGAATATCCCTAATTCCTGCCACCCCAGTCTTAATCAGTGGTGGAAGAACAGTCTCAGAACTGTTTGTCTCAATTGACCATTGAAGTTTAATAGTAAAAAACTGGTTAATGATAACAATTCATTGTAAAATCTTCAGAAGGAAAGGAAAATATTTGGTGGACCATTTTGGGTTTTTTTTGTGTGTGTGGCAGTTTTAAGTTATTAGTTTTTATAATCAGTACTTTTTAATGGAAACAACTTGACCAAAACTCTACCACAGAATTTTGAGACCCATTAAAAGTTTAACGAGAAACCTGTCTTCCTTTGGTCAAAAGTGAGACTACATAGAAAAATATTAAGGCAAAAGTTAGTTTGTAAATCACTCTTGTATTAAGAACCCATTGGAACTTTTTAAAGAATATGATAATTTAGATATTTTTTTCTTGGTTGGGAGTTAGGGTCATTTCTCACCTTTCTAAGAAGGCAGAATCTTACAGAATGCCTGTTTACATATTTCTCTAGAAGGCTAAATCCTATAATAATGCCCATGTGTTGCATATGAAATTTTGTAGTTAATCAATATTAAGTAAATTCATTCAAACAATCTCAAAAAAAAAAAAAAATGGAGCCCTCGTGACATAATTACCTTCCCAAGGCCCCACTTCTTAATACCTACACCTTGGCAATTAGGTTTCAATATGTGAATTGTGGTTGCTACATACATTGAGACAAAAGCAGATGGTTTTAAAGTTTTGCTTGTATCATACTTTCCATCATGTTGCTTCTTATTCTTTAGCCAGGTGAATATGGTTTTGCCTTTTCTCCCCCCCACCCCCCCCTTTTTTTTTTATTTTGTCAGAGTACATGTGTGCTCATCAGAGACAGAGAGAGATAAAGAGAAAGGGAAAAATGAGAAAGCTTCAGTCAAGAATATTCACGCAATAATTACTTTCCTCCATTTCTCCCTCTTTTGGTCAAGACTATATACACACACAGGACCTGTGTGATTTTCAACCTACTGGATCAGGACTCAAACTACATGGTGAGTCATGTGAGATATGGCCGCCTTACCCACCATGCCACTGGGTGGTTCAATTTTGCCCTCTTTTTTGTCATTTCAGTGGAGGTTTACACTAAACTGACTCTATTGGATATCTTTGTAATAATAGTTTTTGACAGAGGGAAAAGATAACAGAATTCTAGTTGCTAGACCCAATCGCCACAAACAATGTGATTTGTAATTATTCTAATTTTTGTACTAGAAATTAGAAGTAATGCCATAAAATTGCATCTGTCTACAGTGAGAAAGAATCAGAAGTTCAAAATATCTTTCAAGATTACAAAAAGCATATCAAGAAAAAAAAATCTCACTACCATTCTCATACAGGATATTTTTAATGTTTGTGCAGTCAGTTCTCATTATTCATAGCAGTTCATTTCTATAACGTTGCTGCAAACACTGAAATAGGAAATGCTGAATTATCGCTTGTAGAAAAAATATATGATTAGTATATTGGTCAGGATTCTCAAAAGAAACAAATTTAATAGGATTAATATATTTTTAAAAGATGGGATTTATTATGAGGATTATCTCACACAATCACAAGGTAGAGATGCTCCACAATAGGTTAACTGCATACAAGAGAAGCAGCTAAGAGAGTGAAGCAAGGAAGCTGGTACAGTTCCAGTCTATGGCCCAAGGTGGGCCCTTGGTTGGCTACAGGACAAAGCACCCTCCAGTGACCACTGGTATGAGTACAAAGTCAAAGTTAAAGAACCTGGAGTCTTTCAGGCTGAAGAACCACTGGACCCACGAGCCAGCAGGATAAATGCAACCAAGAATTGAAAAACAGAGTGGGGATCAAGCAGGTGGATATGTAAGATACACAATCCACAACAGAATACACAATCGACTCTGGGAAGACAGGTCAAGGAAAGGGGAGAGGAAAAAGAGCCCCATTTCCTCTCTTTGTCCCTCCCATGCTTCCAGTTGATTGGATGGTGCCTGCCTACATTGAAGACACATCTTTTTCTCTCAGCTCACTGATTTACATAGATAAATTGTTCCTAGAAGCTCTGAAACAGACACTTTTAGAAACAATGTTTCTCAAATCTTCCAGGCATCCTTCAATTCAGGATGATCAAGTTGACCAAAATAAGCACCATAGGTAGGTTGGTATAAGCCTCTATTCACATTGTTGAAAATAAATCAATATATACCCTTGTTTTTCATGTGTTTTTATTAAAAGACACTTTATTTAATGTGTATCACTGATCCAGTGACAATGAACTCTTGACCAATACCGTCATAACTCATACCTGCACAAAGCTTATCTAATGTATGTGTTTCTCCGATAAGATACATCCCAGCCTTCTTCTGCTTAGGAGCCCTTGATAGTAGTTCACCGCCAAGCCTCGGGGCCAATTTAAACAAACAGACAGACAAACAAAATCACTAAAAAGGCAAAGAAATGCAAAATATGTTGGCACTAAATAGATCACAAGGACATTCATTTATGGTATAAAACTTGAAGCAAGAAGGCAAAGTTTTCCTTAGCTGAGAATATGCACATAGTGCAACTCAGTTTTTACTGATTTTCTCACACTCGTGAATGACTATGAAAGTGAAGTGAGTTTTGATTTGGGGATTACAAATACTTCTTTTGAATAGGAAGAATCATGAACACAGAATTTGCAAATAATGAGAATTGGTTTGTTTTTGCAAAGAGACTGAAAACACAGTCTAAGCACCACAGCACTGGATATAGGTAGCCAGGGGTCACCCTCTCATTGGAGTTATTTAATCAGAAACTGGACAACCTTAGTGAGAAATTTGTAGAATGGATTAAAACTTGGGAGAAGTTTGGGACCTAAAAGGCTTTAAAGTCCCAAAGACACTGATATTTTATGACTTTACTTTTGTGCAGATAATACAGCAAAAAGTAAAACCTAGCAGATGCCTTTGACCTCAGATTTAAAAAAAATATTTTTAGTAACTGTAAATTGTCATAAAATTATAACTTTATTTTTCCTATTCCATTAATACATTTTTTTGGCCATGTTTCAGACATTGTTATGAACTAGGTTAATGGGGAGACTTAAGTACACACACAACCCTATGTATATATACTAAATCACTTAGATTTTGTTCAAATTCACATAATCAACTGAATATGTTCTTTCCAATAAGTCCCTTGGAGAACTGAGCTAAGTGTTCTTTATAGTACTACAACCTGGTCTAAAAACTATTTTTAAACTCCTTTCTTTAGATAATTTCAGAACCAATTTCTAAATCACACACACACACGCACGCACACACACACACGTTTATTGAACTGAAAATGGTACTATCCAGTTTCATTTATCAGAGTCATATACCATTTAGTTCTTTACACATTCTTATTCTAAAATTTAAGCCTACTGTTCATGTTAAAGATTTGCCTCACATTTGCAAATAAAAAGCACAATTCTTAGTGCACACACACATACTGTGTTAAGTGAGTTCAAGATTTAAGTCTTTGTATCTACCACTTTATCCTCATCATCTTCTATACTGCTTACTGCAGAGTAGTGTTATAGTCTATTCAGTGAGAAATAAGAGGACATCCAGACATAGCCAAATTTATTGGAGTTTATTGATTAAGCTGGTGGCACATGGGGGGACTCATGTCTCTCAAAACTCCGTAGCCCGGAGTGAAAGGAGAAAGGAGCTTATGTAAGCCAAAAATACACAAATGATTTACAAGGGCAAAGGAACAAAGTAAAGGGGCTTCAGGAGAGATAGGGGGTAGGGATTTTTGTCTTCAAGCAAAAAGCCAGTTACAGAAGCAAAGCAAGCAGGTTAATTAGTCTTGAGGGTAAATTCTGATTACACTGGAATTTTAATGGCTTCCCTGGTTTTGGTCAAGGTTCTTGAGGCTCCTGGGAGTGGGGCTTCTTCAGATCTTATCTGCACTTGTGGGGAGGGGGAGAAGGAGGCACAGTTTCTAAAATGAAATCACCCTTTCAAAATGGAGTCACACTTGTTTTATTCCCCACTTCTCTTGGAGGTGCTCCTTCAAGATGGGGTCATGCCTGCTTCAGTAGGTACTGAATAATCATGTGATAAACAAAGTCAAGGCACACAGCAACTCAAAGCATATGTGAGATGGAACAAATATGGAAAGCTGTCACCTGACACTATGTTTTTTTATCACA